TTTGACATAATTCTCTAGCCTTGAAGAAGAAAATAGAAGTCTGGTAGCAGCCTCTCCAGCCCCTGGAACTCCTTCTAAAATAACTTGAATGGGTATTTATAGAATCCTAAAAACCCTAATTAGAATGGACGTCGGGCTGGGCTGAATTACTGCGCAAGGGGTCGACACTCTTTACAAGGTGCCGGCACTTTGAGTGGAGCGTCAACTACATCCTCCGTGTCGGGTTTTTGGCCTTTTGTGCAATTTTGCTTAATGGCAGAATAACAGTCTTGGTCCCTGACTCCTGGATTCCGTGCAAGTTGATCATCATATTTCTGACCTTTGCAATTTGCTCCTTGATCAAGAATGGAGAAAATCTCACTTGAGCCTTTAAACTTCTGATTTATCCTTAGATCCTCATCTTTTCAGCTCTTTGCATTTAAGTCCTTTTTCTTCTAATTCTCTCCATTTAGTCATCAAACCTTCAATCACCAAAATTTTGCACAACATGAATAGAGTGAACAATTATGAAATTATTTGTAGAAAAATATAACTCTTAAACCCATAATTCCACAAATGTTCATAATTAAGCACACTTTAAATATACATTTTCATGCTTTCATCAACCATCATCCATGGAAACTGAACTGAAGGAGATGCAAGAACGGGACTCAGAAATAAGCCTCGAATTTGCAGCGGCTGAGGGTGAAAGACAACAACTTGTGATGACAGTCTGTTACCACAAGAATGCCTAGAAGAGCTAAAATATTTGTTTCTTCATAACTGATTTTCATTAACACAAATCACAGTCCTTTTTCTCCCCATGAAATCAATCATGTTGTCCCTGGAGATTTCACATTTTGTTAAGCTTTGCGAATGCGTGTATTAATTAGTCTCACCTACCATTTAATAAAATTAAATAAAATTTAATTAATTATTTCATGAATTAGGAAATAATTTTATTAATTGAAAATTGAAGTTGAAGGACGTTTTTGGTACTTTCTGAAGTTCAAGGATGAATTGGTTCAAAAATAAAAGTTTAGGGACCAATTCAAGTATTTAACCTAAAAAATATATTAGCCATGTCAACATCACTGTTCAATTAATCCTTAAATAGAAAAAGTTAAAAGTTGACATTTTTAAATAGAAAATGTTGAAAATTGACATCATTATTTAGAAATTGACAAAATTAACATCTTTATTTTAAAAAAAAATTAAAAATTAATATCCTTATTTAGAAACTGACAAAACTAACATATTTAAATAGAAAAAAGTACAAAGTTGGAACTCTTATTTGCACCTGTACTCAAACGGGCTTCCTTTTTTTTTTTTTCTCGAGAAATGTAATTGCATTTTACGATGTCATATATTCCTATGCTAATATTTTCGACTTCTTTTCAAATTACTTTTTATTGTTCAAGTACTAATTATTCTTTCTTGAAATGTCATTGAATTTT